TCTGTGATTCTATGATAATGTCACAGGCATGACAGTTACTTTGACTAAGACCATTTACCTCATTATGGGGTTTAATGACTAGTTCCAGACATTTGTGAGCAACGTGTACCTATTAAATTATGTGTCAAGTCAAATGTCTTTGTAGTCAGGGAAGAGGTTACATCATTGGTTTTCTTTTACCTTGATTTTTTTTCCCTTGTGGATGTTCAGTTGGTGTCAATAGTTTGCTCAAGATCATCACCAGACTTCTCACATATATTTTAGAGCACTGAATTATTCCTTAATGCACGGGAGTTTCCAACTCCTAAGTTCAGTAACAAAAAAGGGGATTTTTCTCTGTTTGCTTAACGCTTTTAAAAACATATTATTTCAGTTAATACATTAATTATTTCCATAACAGCTGTAATGAACCAGCATCTTATTGGACTCTGCAGTCCACACCTACCAGGCAAAATGTATGTGCAGTTCAGTGATTGTCCACAGACATGCAACTGCTGTTTACTCAAAGTAGCAAGGTGCTCAAATACAAGAAAGTAGATGTGGAAGAGTTGTCTTTGTGACTACATGGGGTTTGGATGGCTCCCTTGCTGAAAACTGTTCCCTTCCTTGTTTTCCTAAATGCTAGGTTTCTAGGGAATGGCTTGGTGACTGTTTGCAACCATGAGCATTGGCACAAGCAACGGAAGATAGTGGATCCAGCATTCAGCCGAACGTAAGGCAAATATTTCTGGGATAATCTGTCTCTTATTTCTGCTTTTTTTTTCATGATTCTCCCTGTCACTGATCCATTATTTGATATTTAGAAAGAAGAAAAACCCATTTAGTGCCCGTTTAGTTTACTTCAGTCCAACACACCATTTCCATGACAAGAATAATTTGGCCAGACTTCCCATGGAGCAGTGACACACATACGAGCTCAGGGACGGCAGAAAGGTCCCAGGGTTCTATATCTAGGGACGTGGTGATAGGTGCCTTATCCTGTTGGGAAACAGACCTCGGGGATTTGATGTGGGCAAGTCTCATCATTGACCTGAGTGATTCCTTGTGGGAGATATGGGCTTGGTGTGATTTGCTTGTGTGTGCCTCGATGCATTGCGTTTAGGCTCTGAAGATAAAGTCCGTTTGGTCCTGCGTGTACAGGCCAAAGCCCTTTGCCATGACAGCCGTTGCTTACGTGGCAGGAAGCAGCGGGGCTGCTGTAAGAAGAATTTAGCTCATTTTATCTGTTTGCTTTTTAAAGTATTAAGGGAAACTTATTGTAAATTTAAAAAAATAAATACAGTTTTCTATCAAAAATTATGAAGGTAGTTTTGCCTGAGAAAAGATGTCCTCTCCAGAACCCCCATCACTCCTTTTTATTGGTTGTTCAGCTACCTGATTGGTCTGATGGAAACTTTTAATGAAAAAGCAGAGGAGCTGATGGAGAAGCTAGAGGAAAAGGCAGATGGAAAAAAAGAGTTTAGCATGCTGCTGATGATGAACCGGGTGACTATGGATATCATTGGAAAGGTACCAGCTGTCTGCTTTCTTGTTTCCTCTACAACTGGGAGGAAGGAATGGAAGTAACAGGTACCAGCAGCAGGATGGGATCAGGAGTCAGAGCCAGGGAACAAGACCCTTACCCAGCAGTGCCAGAAGAGGTGAAGGACTAATTGTGCCCCTTCCGTTCAGGCTGAGCCATAGGAAGGGGCAGTTAGGGGAAGGGTCTGCACAGCCTAGGTGCGTCCTGCAGGATGTGGGCCTTTTGCAAAAGCCCTTACAGCCTCATCCCTCCCACCCCTCCATGCCAAAAGGGGCACACAGATGCTTGTTCACTTGTGGATGTTGTATTATTACCATTATATATCAGCGTGAAGTCTGCCCTTATGCTGGCTTTTCCCTTCTCTGTACAAAACAGCTTGGGATGAATGGAGAGCCATAGTAAATTATTAATCTCCCCAAATAAGGAGGAAGCAGAATGTAGATATTACCCTTCGCTTGCAGCCTCCTGCAAGGCAGGATCTAGCTTGAGGTATTTTTAGGGGAAAAAGGTGGCAGTATGAGGATGTCCTGCTCTTTTGCCCCAGCGAGCCAGGAGATGCAGCAAATTGCTGTCCTTTTCTCTCCCGTTCCTTAGGTAGCCTTTGGCTTGGAATTAAATGCACTGAGCGATGACCAGACACCTTTGCCGCACGCTGTGACCACGGTTTTGGAGGGAATGACCGAGGCGCGCATCCCCCTCATACAGGTCTGTACTCACCTTGCTTCAGTCCTCTCCCCTCGTGTCCAGCTGGAGCCCCTGCATGAGTGGGCTGGAGCTGTGTGAGGTCCATGTACGATGGGCAAAGGGTCAGCAGCAGCTCTTTCCAGATAAAATACATTAGTGCTTTAAAAAACTTGCATCGTTAACATTTAACACTTCCTTTCTGTCTTTCTGCCTTCTCTTCCCCTGTGCATGTGTCATCTTCTCTTATGCTTTTACACTTTTACACCCATCGCTGCAAAAATTGAGCTTTCTGCCATTTGTCCAAGAAGGATGGCAGCTTTCACTCGGGGTGGAAGAAATGTGAACTTTCTGACTGTAAAAAAGAAAATAAAAATAAAAAAATATTTTCAACCAGAGTTCATATACTAGGAAATTACGGATGTATTCTGCAATATGTAAGTTAAAAATCGTTCCACAGTTTCTCATGAAAGCTGTAGTTCAGGCTTTTAGAGCTCCTGTTTTCCTTGTTGGGCCCAGAGGTGAGATTCTGTGTCGCATGCTGCAGTCTCTTTCCACAGAGAGGTGAGGAATTTTACTCACGGTGCCTAAAACATCAGCTTTGACAAGGCAGGACATCAATATGCCAAATTTGAATATTTCTCATTTCAGCCTAAACCCTTCACCTTGGGGACATTCACTTTCTTCTGTGAAGAGCAGATGTTTTTCTGACAAATGTCATTTACAAGGTGCTTGCTTGAAGAATAACACTGGCAATGTTTTTTACTAGCAAAAAAAGAATAAAATGACTGAAGAAATTCTGTATTCAGTACATGCCAGGGAAACAGAAGCTGGTGAAGGACGTCAAGGAGAGTGTGAGGCTGCTGCGGCGTGTGGGAAAGGAATGCATTGACCAGAGGAAAGAGGCCATCCGGAACGGGAAGGAAGCCACGCTGGATATTCTTACGCAGATACTGAAAGGAGATGGTAAGTCACACGTTGTTTCAGTTCATTCATCTGTGGCATTTTTTGCCGTGAGATCTGTGGAGCCTTATTTTGGGGATCCTCTTTTAATGTCTTCAGGAGGGTTTTTTTCACAGTGAAGGTACTGAGAGTTGCTTTGAAAATTCCCCATTTCTTTGTGTTGGATCAAGTCCTGGTCACAAGTCACCAGTGAGTTGCCCACTCGGCATCCTCTGGCACCTCCAGCATCACCTCTGACAGCACATGGCAGAGCATTGTAGCTGTTCCAGCTGGGGCATGGGGATGTTTTCTGATCTCATTTGTTTTTCTCTTGACAGCCCTGGAGAAAAGTAGAGATGATGAAAACATTCTGGATAACTTTATCACTTTCTTTGTTGCGGGTTGGTACCTCTTCTAATATTTGGATATGTCATATGGGAAGCCGTACCCATTCTTGGGTCATCTGCAGGGTCACGATTAATGTCCGTGCTCTCTCCGTGTGCCGCAGCTGTAAGCAGGAGTTGCTGGGTTGGAGGGCAGCAGTGTTACACTGGCATAGGACCCAGTGGGCAAGGTCTGAAGAGAGCTTTTAGTTTTCTCATGAGCAAATGATATATTACCCGCCTTTGGTCATATCAGTACAGCGAATAATGCCAGGCCAGTGGTTTCCAATCTGCGGTGCCTGCTGGGGTACAAGGCTATTCCTCATGGGATTCTGACCCTTGCTCCCAGATCCTACTAAACCCCACTGGAAGCGCCTTTAACATACTCCACGTGTCTTCACATCACCTCACCCACACAAGCAAATGCCATTCTTGCCTTAAGTGCATTAGCCAACGCTTGGTAGGCTTGGCAGTGCCCCCTCCTATCAGAAAAAGCAGAGGCTGAGATATGTGAGGTAAACAATGTAGAAAGATTAATCTTGCAGGTCAGTAGGGTTTAGGTTCCTCTAAGCAGGTGAGGTCAAAACACTGTTCTTTCACAAGACAGACGTTACTGCAGTGTCTTTTTAGAAGTCTGCTTTCTGTAATGCTTTAAAATAATACGTATGCCTATTTATGGAAAAATGGAAACTATCCACGTGAAGCAGACATTTTGAAGAAAGGCAGTTAGAAGCTCTGTTTTCCCTCAGAACCAGTAAATCCTTGCTTGTTGTCGGAACTGCGTCCCCCATGATATGACAGGGCAAATGCTGAACCTCACTGGCCCTTCCGATGGCAAGCCTGGAATCCGTAGGTGCTGTATGCAGCCACTGCAGCTTTAGGTTGAGCAAGACAGCATGTATCTTCACCAGCTATGCCTTGTTCTTGTCATTTTTGAAAGCTCCTTACGTAGAAATTGCATCCCTTTTAGTGTTTCCTTTAATTTCTAGCATACTTGAAATTAAACATTCGGGGCCTGACGTTTAAAGTTTCCTGTTCACGTCCCACTAGTAGAGCATCTTTGTATCATGTTGTAATTTCACACTAACCTTTAAACCAATTTTTTGTGTTGCTAGGTCATGAAACTACTGCCAATCAGTTGTCATTTACAGTAATGGCACTGGCTCAGCATCCTGAAATACTGGAAAGGTATGTGTGCTCTAATTTGCAAACCCAGCTTTCTGTTAATTTCAAGATGTACTTAATTATAAGGATTATTAAAAAGCTAGGTTCAAGTCCTAATAAATTTTAGCCTCCCTTTCAAAATAGAGTTTCACAGTCCCAGTGTATCTAAAATTTTAAAAAAGCTCAAGGTGAATTACTTCAATTCCATCTAAGTGGGTTTTTTTTCAAAGCCTTTATACAAAGCTGGTCCTGAATCCTGCCTGATTTGGCCGCAGTGCGTGCACATGGCGTCATCCTGATACGAGGCACAAGTTCAGGCAGGCTGGCTGGGGATCAGTAGGCATTTTGCCTGAGGATGGGGGAGTCAAAGTCCAACTCCGTGTCTGGAAAGTAAAAAAAAAAAAAGATGTAATTTATTAACTTGCCTAGAAAGAAATGGACATCTGCAACTGTCCATTTCTTTAAATTAAATTTAACTGCAGGCTTCAGGACGAAGTGGATGAAGTTCTTGGTGCCAAGAGAGACATTGACTGGGAGGATCTTGGCAAACTCACCTACTTATCACAGGTACTGTAGGAGTGAGGTAAAGTACCAGTGAGAGCTGTTTGGTAGTGCTCCTGCCATCTCAGACATCTGCAACTAGCATTTTTTTAAATTTAACTGCAGGCTTCAGGACGAAGTGGATGAAGTTCTTGGTGCCAAGAGAGACATTGACTGGGAGGATCTTGGCAAACTCACCTACTTATCACAGGTACTGTAGGAGTGAGGTAAAGTACCAGTGAGAGCTGTTTGGTAGTGCTCCTGCCATCTCATGGGACTGCCAAGAGGAGCCTCACACTTTTCACGTTTCAAGAGCAATGCCAATATTTGATCCTGATAGTGTGTTGTGGTTTAAGCCTAGCAACAGCAGAGCACCACACAGCCGCTCAGTCACCCCTTCCCCGGTGGGATGGGGAGAGAATCAGAAGACAGAGGTAAAACTGTGGGTTGAGACAAGGGCAATTTAACAGGACAACGCAGGGACAGAAGAAATAACAGCAACAACACTACTAATAAAAGACTATAGAAAGCAAGTCATGCACAACCCAGTTGCTCACCACCCGCAACGTGATGCCCAGCCCATTCCCAAGCCAAGATCCCCCAGCCAGCTCCCCAGTTACATGCTGAGCATGAAGTTATATGATGTGAAATATCCCCTTGGCCAGGTTGGGTCAGCTATCCTGGCTGTGTCACCTCCCAGCTTCTAGTGAAAATTGACTTTCCCTGCCGAATCCAGGACACGGTGTTTGTCCCCAGAATGTCAGCAAGCAGGTACTCTGAGCTGCTTGCAGCAGCCCAGCCTTAGGAAGGATGCTCCTTGAATTTCTTTCCAAAATCCCACATGGTTCTTTCATGTTTAATTATTCCCAAGCTGGGAGCTAGAGTGGAGTTGCTTCAGCAACCTGTTTAAGCTGAAACCACAGATGTACCACGGAAGGTTTTGCAGCTTCAAGCCCAACTTGTACATGAGTCCCAGGCGCTTTCCAGACTCGCATCTCTCTTTTTGTTTGATTATTGTTAAAGCACTTCCTATGATCTCACCATGCACCATAAACTCTGTAGGATTTGAGGACATTCAAAATAAAGGCGCTCTTTTTTTTTTTTTTTTCCCCAAGAGGAAAAAGAAGTTTGGTCCTAAAAAGTCTTGTGTGTAGAAATGCTGGTTGGTAATGAACTACAAAGACAAGGCTTGGCTACTAACTAGCATTTGTGTTGCATATCCATTTTTACAAGGTGGAGGACACCAGTAGCCCTTGGGAAAGGCTGGATCAGTCCTGACAGCTATTCTCCCTGCTTAAATTCCCTGTGACTTTAGTAGTCTGCCATGGTAGCTCTTCTTTTAAACTGCCCTGTCAAGGTGGGTGATGGTGTTTTACCATTTGCCATCCCGCAAATCACTGTGCTTTGGCAGCAAAGAGATTTCAAAGGTATATTTCTCATAAGGAAAAGGCATCTCTGATCTCAGAAATTAGCAGGTTTCCTGAGGCTTCTCCAAACACCATCACAATTATACCACTCCAATTAGGATGAGGTATCTAAGCCTTTCAGTTTTAAGACAGATTACATGAGAGCCTCTCAAAGCAGACTGTTATTTAACAGAACAAGCTTGGATCTGTACAACCAAAATCACAGTCACCCTTGGTCAGAGCCAGTCCATCATCTCCAGAGTATCAGAGACCATGGGACTCTTCTCCTGTCGCTCAGGCAATTCTGAGTCCTTTTGTCCATGCTTCTTTTTCATTAATCCACTCGGGCGTACACACCGTTAATTGCATTTGCAGTATGATGCTAATGTGCACTGTTAATTAGGTTTCACTTCGATGAAATAAACCATTCTTACAGCTCAATGCCATCAAAAGAAATGGTTGCATTCCATTTTTTCCTGGCTGTTCCCTATTCATGTTCGTTTGCCAGGTTGTGTTTTGTCATTTTGGTGCTCTGACCTCTCAGCAGCAGAAGCAGGACAAAGGCAGGAGTGGGAGCGCAGTGCTGAGAGTGGGAAGGAGGTGGAAGCAGCCACCCATCCTTGTGGCAGCTAGTACTGAAAATGGCTTGTTGGGGGCATGAGACTTCACTCTTGAGTACTCCTTTGAATTTGCTTCCCAGTAATTTTTCACTTAGTTATTGACCTGAGGTGTTAGATCTGTTCAGTGCATGGTATCTCTTGTGTTTTTTTGCTGATTTTTCTCTCTATTTTACCAGTTGTAAGAAAAAAACAGGCCTGAAGGAGCTGACTTAGGCATATATTTTGCCCGCAGGACTCCAAGGCAGATACACGAGCATCTGTTCCACAAGTCAAAAGCTCCCATTTAGCCAAAGTGAAAGGCCATAGGGAAGTAATTAATTTTACTTCTGCTTCCTATGCTGACCTTTTGTGCTTTTTACTGGCACAGGTTTTGAAGGAATCGATGCGGCTGTACCCGCCTGTCCCAGGGACGGTGCGCTGGATGGAGAAGGAGTGCGTCATCGACGGCGTCAGAATTCCTGCAAACACAACGCTCATTGTGAGTCCCATCCACCAGCAGCAGATTTTAGCTGCTGCAGTTGATCCGAATGTAATGGCTCTGTGTACAGAGGGCCAAAATCCTCCCTGGTCATATTTCTACTGGCCTCTCTGAAATTTTGGCCAAAACTGAGATATGAATTGGGACTGTGGATCATTTTTGCCTGGGGAGTAGAAGACAGTTGTGGTTTTGTACCTGTGACAGCAAAGAGGCACTTTCAGTGTGCTGCTTCTGACTAACACAAACTCTTTCTTGACAGTTCAGCACATATGTAATGGGAAGGATGGAAAGGTATTTCAAGGATCCATTCACTTTCAATCCGGACCGATTTAGCAAAGATGCACCTAAGTGAGTTTCTTTTTACTCTCAGGTTATTAAATATGTAATAAGGAGCCATTACAGGAAGAGATTTCAAGGGGAAGAAAGTGGAATAAAACTATTTATCCATTCCAATATGAACAATGCTAAAGCCTTATCCAAATGCAAATAGAGAGCAATAATGTGTAGCTTCTGTTCAGAAGTTCTTTATGCCACATGATACTTTACAAAAAAAGACCAATACTAACGTTACATAATGTTTATATTGAGGAAGAACCCCAAGGTTTGGGCCAAAACCAGGTTGAATATTTGCTTTAATGCAATGCAGTCATTTAATGTGTGACAGCCCTAGCCCCAGGATGCTTGAAGTGTCTCCACATGACAGAGGGGACAAGGGGCCGAGGAACAGAAGATGCTGTTCAGCCACGTGGGCAGGCAGCCCAAGCCTAATCAGTAAGCAGGAGTGCACTAGGAGGGACCAGTGACCAGGCATGAGTGTCTAACTACTTCATGAGCCAGGGGTTTACTTCAGCCTAGAGTTAGTCAGTCTGGTCTCCTGACCCAGTGCCCCCTCACTCACATGGTTCAAAGCTGTCCAAAGGAGCAATGGTTGGGTGGATTGTTAAGCCCTCATGACAGGCTGCAGAGCACTTAAAGTATGCTTTGACATTCAGTTTTGAAGTAAGGTTTGCATGCATCAAAACAGCTCCGTGAGCTGAGGCATGCAGTAAGCGGAGATGCCGAGTAAACTTGCTGCAGTGCTGCGCTGCTGCTCTGAAGCAAAACGGTGTCAGTCTGGAGATTGTCCTAACAAGTCAGCTAGGTAAGGTGGTGTTTAGACCATTTCCTTGCTACTGTGGTAAAATATTTGCTTGTTTCTTTACAACCAAGCTGTCAGGATGACAAATTTGAAAATTTTTCTTTGCAGGCCGTATTACTGCTATTTTCCGTTCTCTCTGGGACCCCGATCCTGCATCGGGCAAGCGTTTGCACAGGTAAGCAGAGGCCTGGAACGATGCTTCACTAGCAAGCGCTGGGCCAACTCAGGATGTGCCGGCTGTGGCTGTTGGGGGCAGACACCAAAGGCTGCACTGGTGGTACGCTGACCCTCTACCCTCCCTGCCATGCCCACAACAGGACCCATCTCTCAAACACTGTCACGTGAGTGGACATATGTGTGCCACACTGGTCCCACTTCACCCTTGCCCACATGCAGCCAGGTGCCTGCAGGGGAAGGGGCAGCAGGCTGCTCTCCCTCTGAACTGCTGAGGTCACCCTGCTGGAATCCAAACCCCTTGATGGGAATCGCAGTCAACATCCCTTTGCCAGCTGAGGTCAGACACATGGGAGGTGCAGGGGCTCTTAGGGACCATCCCATGGCTGTAGGTGGCAGAGTCAAGTCAGGGAAAATGCCAGCTGGCAGAAGGGCACAAGCCAGGACTGGCACTGAGGAGGGGACTGCATGGATGGGAGGAACAATTTATTGAAGTATGTGAGTACCCGAGCATGGCAGAGAGTGTGGTGGAAGGACATTAGGAGACCAGGTCTGCACCTTGAGTTCATCTGAGCACCAAAATCTTCAGGTTAAAGTGCTTGGGTTTGCTTCTGATTTCGAAAATGGGGTTAACACATAAACACAGGGGCAGATCTTAGAGCCTGTCAGTTGTCTTCAAATTCGGGAAGCCCCAGGTGACTCTTTTTCCTGCCCCCTTCAGCCAGCTGCCTCGTCAGAGTAACATTTAACTTCAGTCTCTGCTCTGACAAAGCAGCGTGACACAACACACTGGCCTTCAGTAGCTGCAGTCCAGGCTGTGTGGGCTGCCACTGACCATGACTCTGCTTATCTTAACAGATGGAGGCAAAAGTGGTGATGGCAAAGTTGCTGCAGCGGTTTGAATTCCAGCTGGTACCTGGGCAGTTTTAAGCTCTTGGATGCGGGAACCGTTAGGCCACTAGATGGAGTAAGGTGTAAACTGAAGCCGAGGAGCCCGGCAAGCGGCTGCCAGGCGTGACTACTCATGGAGACAAGCGTGGCATGGCAGTGGTGGTGTTTCTCCTTTGAGGATCTTAACAGTAATCAAAAATTAGATTTTTGCAGGCCCCTTTAGAGGATTACTAGACTGAAATTTTTCCTAGCCTTCCTCATCATTTACTGAAGAAAACCTTAGGAGGGTCACTCGACTGAGCATCTTCGGTCTGGAAGCGTACCTGGCATTGCAAAGCCTGTTATTTTCCTGAGGGACTACTGGGTTCTGACCAGACTTGGAGAAGAACATCCTTTCACTGGAGTATCCCTGGAGCTCCACACAACCTGCACTCAAATCCCAGCTGATAGTTTCCACTAAGTTTACTTATGACACAACATGTTATAATTAAGGCCTTTTTTCAGGGATTTTCCTACTTCCACTAAGTTTTCTGATTTTATTGTGTGACAGAAGATTTGGGCTGAACTTAGGAAGAGATGTTTGGAGCTACTCTCTTGGTCAGAGTAATTTTCCTATCCCTGCTCTAAATGAGAAGGATTGATAGGAGCAATCTAAAACAAAAACAGCAACTGTGTCCACACGTTTCTTGGTTACTTCTGCCTCGTTTCTCTTCAGCTTCTCCTGCTTTCCTTCTGACATTATTCAGAGTGGAGATTCACAATCCATGCTGTAGAAAGGGGTTCTCCTGCTGCCTACTACTCTTACCCCTGTGCTCATTCTCCTGAGACACTGTTCTTTTGGGAGGGTCTTGCTGCGTTTATTTTAACTTGGATCATTTTCCCCATCTGGCTCACCATGAAATTACATGAACGCTTGGACCAGACAGACTAGTAGGTACAGCGAGGTTGGAAGTGCCTGGAATCAAATACTGCTTAAAATGATACTGCTGCTGAAAAAATGCATCTGCAGTCTGAGCCAGAGGCAGGAGAAGGTGCTGCACCCCTTTATTCTGCAGATGTGCCAAAATTGCTGACTGCATGGAAGCTTGCAGGCTGGCTCTCCTAGGGAAAAAATGTCCATGTGAAAATGCCACCTTCCAGTAATACATGGATACCTGTAGGAGTTTGGGCCTCATCTGTCATGAAACAGAGGGAATTCAAGATTTTGGGTGCTGCCACTGTTATTTCTTACCTTTTTGGATTAGAAGGGCAAGAACACAGCCTGTACACTGTCAAGTTCCTGTGGTGGTTTCCACACCAGGATACTGGCAGCCCAGAGCTTTCCCAGTAGTCTCATTCAGTGGGATAGCAAGTCAGTAAGGTTGGTGTTGCTTTTGAGAACACAAGCAGTGTTATGGGATGTATTAATGTGGCTTATACCCAGAGGTACCAGTGCTTGTATTGCTGGGGAAGGTTTAGTCCATCTGTTGGTAGACCAGCTCTTCAATTCCTCATGCTGGAGCTCTGCTTATATCCTCTTAAACATTAATAAAATCTCATTGGGAACACTGAGGACTGTCCTGCTTCATGTGTGTTCCTGGGAGCTGATGAGGTTGGGAAGCGGGATGCCAGTCGGGCTAGGTGTGCTGGTGACATAACAAAAGGCTGAATCCTGAGAATGTGTCGAAAGGGGAGGGAGGTTATCTCGGGAGTGGTGGAGGAAGCTTTGAACAGGAGGCAGACAGTTCAACAGGCACACTGGCAAATCCCGGTCTGGAAATGTGAGATGCCACCAGGCCAACTCTCTGCTCTGCCCCGCTAATGAGCGAGTGGAGATGCATTAGTTGCACAAACCTGGATTCCCTTCTGCTACACCTGCGATGGGGACAGATACTCCAAGGAGGGCTCAAGGGGAGTGGTAGCATATTAAAACCCTGCAGCAAATTTTGTGAGACCTCATCTGCCCAAGACCGGAGCTTCCTGCCTGCTCTGTGCTAACCCTCTGCAAAGGATGCTCTTCCTGTTCTCTCTGCAAGCCCACATGCAAGCCAGCTCTCCAGGGCCTGCTGACGCAGGCCTTTCTTCTGTTTTGCACCCAAGGGCTCTTGCCAGGCTGTCGCCTGTCAGTGCTGATGGCTTTCCAGCAGATGGCAAGCTCTCCTCGATGCACCCACCAGGAGCCCGTTCTTCATCCCTCCCAGCTCCTTCCCTGGGGAGCAGAGCTGTCCCTGCTCCGCAGGGGCAGCATCCCGCAAGAGTGGGTGATGCCCTGTGATGTGCAAGCAGCCTGCAGCGTTCTCACTGTTTCATCCTGCACCCCCAGCCAGGAAGTGATCCTTTGTCTCCCAAAATAGGAAGGGGCAGGTTCAGGAAAGCTGCTCCCTGGGGCCCAGTATGCCAGCTGGGTGCTGGCACAGGCTCTGCCCAACCTTGTTGAGAAACTCCAGGCCAGAAGTGCTTTAGGGAGACACAGCTGTGCCTGCCATGGGCTGTAAAAACACCTGGGCCTGCAGCTTTCTTGCATGCCACAGAAAAGGACAGTTTCTCCTTATTCTGGGGAAGAGCAACGTGTTATTTCCCTCCTGGGGCAAGCAATCATTATCTGCACCAAGCACACTGCGGGGGATCGTGGACAGTAAGGCATGGAAGCGGCGTAACATCTGTCCCCACTGTGCTCTTCCCAGCTTCTTGTAGGAAATTTTTGCGGCTAATTTTCTTCTAACCCTTTTCCTGGCTCTTGGGCAAAGCAAAGAATAATCTGGAATGGACTGGTGGGGTGATTTTTTCCCTGGGTGCCACCCAGGCGGGGCCCAGCGCAGCCCCGTGTGGTGTGCCTGCAGGATGGATGCCAAAAGGTTTCTCCGCTGACACGGAACTGCAAAGGCCGGCTGCTCAGGACAGCTCTGCTCCTGCCCTCCAGCAGCTCCTCTTGCTTTCGGCCTGCCCCCAGTGTGCACGCTGCAGAGGGACGGGAACTCTGGAGGCGGCCAGCAGCTCAGCTGGCAGGAGTTGAGGTGAGCAGCTGCCCCCAAAGGTGGGGGCACTGGAGGCAACACTGGCTCCCCGGAGCCTTTATCAGAGGTGTGTATGTAAGTCAGCCTCCTCTTCTGACGGATGGCTGGTGCAGATTGCTTTGATCCTAAACCTGTAACTCCTTGCCCCCCACCTCTACACTGATGCCCAGAACTCTCACACGTGCTCAGAGCAAGGACTTTCCCCTTAGCTTTTTCCCCGGGTTTTTCATGCTAACACAGGAGCTTGATCTTGGCCCTTTTATGTCAGTGTCACAGACAAGTAACAGGGCAAGCGCTGCTGCCTAGACCTCTTGGGCCAGGAGGGGACCAGGCAGGGGACATGCACGCAGAGTAGCCTCTCTATTTCAGAGGAAACCAAATTCTTTCACCCCTGGCATGGGAGAAGGGGGATCCTTTCCAGTCAGGAACACAGGACACTCCCAGTTTGCATCTACACCTCCTATATAGACTCACCTGCATTTCCAGAGAGGAGCCTGGCTAGTATTAGTGCCAGGAGGGAAGTGGGAAAAATCACCACACTTTTGCATGAGAGGAATCTCCTCCTAGCCCTGCAGGAAGCCAGGAGAATCTCAGAAGCATGGGATTCAATCACAGTCATTGCAATTAAATCACAGCCTTCTGCTCCATCTATAGCCTCTGGGGGAATGAATGTAGATCAGAAAGCATAAGATAACTGTCCTCTTGCTGGATTCAGGTATGCAGAGCAGGAACTGGGATATTTTGTTCCCTTCGGGCTCATCTATCCAGCCACGGCCAGTTCCTAGTTGCTTTCTTCACCGCAGCAGCTTTAGGGGGCTATGCGAGTGGAAGGGGGCCTACAAGGAAGCTGGGGGGGCCTTTTTACAAGGGCCTGTAGTGACAGGACAAGGGGTAACGGGTACAAATTGAAAGTGGGGAGGTTTAGATTAGATATCAGGAAGAAGTTCTTCCCGGAGAGGGTGGTGAGGCACTGGAACAGGTTGCCCAGAGAAGCTGTGGATGCCCCATCCCTGGAAGTGTTCAAGGCCAGGCTGGATGAGGCTTTGAGCAACCTGGTCTAGTGGAAGGTGTCCCTGCCCATGGCAGAGGGGTTGGAACTAGATGGTCTTTAAGGTCCCTTCCAACCCACATGATTCTATGATTCTATAATTCTGTGATCTAATCACCCTGTCTTCGGAAACCCGGGTGCTCCTGGTGCCCACACAGGATACTTATACGTGTGTTTGCACTCGGTGTGGTCATACTATGACAGCTGCAACAGGAATCATAGAATCATAGAATGGTTTGGGTTGGAAGGGACCTTAAAGCTAAAGACCATCTAGTTCCAAGCCCCCTGCCATGGGCAGGGACACCTTCCACTAGACCAGGTTGCTCGTTTTCTTCTCTCCCAACATCGT